GAAAAAACCCACTACATCTAAGGAAGGAGCACAAAGTCCTCTTGGGCCTTAGATCTTACACAAGCACAAAGTAGAAGTTTATTAATGGTTGGGGAGGGGCAGGAAACTCTTGCACTCAAGACCTACCACAAATATGAAGCAGGGTGTGGCTGTCATGAGAAAGAAGGGAAGAAAAGCTGTGAAAACCCCACCCCAGGCTTAAACACACGGACTAGACAAGAAGAACAGAAACCCCCCACCCCATACCCCATACCCCAACCCCACCTGAAGAGTAGAACTGAGTAACGAGCAAGAGCAGTGTATCATCATTTGAGAGAACAGAACATGGGGAGAAACCCCTTCTGTGGCACAGGCATGCAGGGGACACTGACAGCTGAGGGCTAAGCAATGAAACTGAGAAAACCTGATAGCCCCCCAGCCTCTATTTTAAGAATGAGGTGGCAGCAGTCCACCAATAGAAAAATTCAAAGCTGTTGCTGTGGGAAAGTAACCACTGCAACACAAAATCCACAACTAACTCCTGCGTAGATTTACTCAACAGAAGAGTTAAATCCATTTGCAGGCATAAACTTTATTTACCTTACTGTTCTTCCACACCATGTCTGACACTCAATCAAATATGATATAAAAAGGCTAGAAAATAAAAACATCCTATTTTCAAGAAATGAAGAAACAGAACCAGACAGAGATAATTCAGGTATTGAAAACGTCAGGCAAGGGACTTTAATACGACTGTGATTAATACATTACAAAATCTAGCAGGAAGTGGAAAGCATGCCTGAACTGATGGGGAAATTCAGGACAGTGATGGAAACTGTAGGAGAGAATCTAATGGAAATGCTAGAAATTGCTATTTTAAAAGATATCAAGATAAATCATTTCTTCAATGAACTTATCAGAAAGCTAACACAAATGAGTCAGTGAACTTGAAATTTAGGGCAATAATAATTACCCAAACTAAAATACAAAGAAAAAACAGGGGAGGTTAAGGGAGAGGGGTAGTGGTGCCAAACCAGAACACGGCATCCAAAAACTATGAGAAAATTGAATTATAATTGAAATCCCAGAAAGGGAATAAAGACAAAATGGGCATAGGAAATATTTGAAGAGATAATGTCTGAGAATATTCCAGAAAAAATAACAACAGTAACAACAAACAAAAGCAAATGAACAATGCAGACCCAGTAAGTTCAGAGAATCACAAGGAGGTAAAAGAAGGATAAAAGTAATATATATATATATATTTCAGAAAATATAAGCAATTCAGACAACCAAAAATAAAAATCAAAATACTGATAAGCTTTCAAACAAAATAAGTTTTTAAGATGTCATTAAAAATCATTCCAGTCTTCTCTATGCATTTATGAACTTTTTTATTGTTTATTCATTTAAATTCATTTATTTTAAATGGAGGAGGGAGGGAGGTTTCAGTAATTGGCCACAACAATCAACCACATTGTATATTGACAAAATAAAATAAAATTTGGAAGAAAAAATAAATAAATAAATTCATTTTTTAAAAATAAAAGTAAATCCCCTGAAGGAATTTATTACTATTTTTGTTTCTAATCCACTGGCCTGAAAATTTCAACATCTTCAGAAGCTTATATTTTAGGACAAGGGGAAATTGAAAAATACCCTGGTTCCATTGGCCTGGGCATTAAGCAACAATGTTAGTGTTCTGGGTGATAGTATTAAAAATGAAATTTTCAACAACTTTCATAACTACAGAATAGATAATAATGCCTGTGCATTATCAGCCTTGAATTATTATATACAAGGGTACTTCAAAAAGTTTGTGGAAAAATAGAATTAAGATAATACAAATGTTTTCATGAACTTTTGAAGTACCCTCATATACTGTGTATATATAATACATAATATATATACACACACATATTGATGATTTCATTAAAAAATATTTCAAGGAACAATTCTAGTGTTTAAAATATACCAGTGTTTCTCAGCTACTAGTTTGAGATTTATATACTTTCTCTATTCTTCCCTTTCTCTCCTGGCTACAATAGCTATTCTATTGAATTTAAACCTTTATTCTCCACAATATAATTTTGGTTTAAAAAAACATATTTAGAATGAAGGATGTTGATCTTGCATTTCATAGTGTCAGTCGAAACTCAAGTGGCTTGTTTTCAAATATTTTATCCCTAAAATGTTTGCCATTGGGATTCAAATTATAATTAGCATCATCTTAATGTTTAAACCCAGGCAAAAAACCTAAAAAAAAAAAAAATACGTGTTTTTATATTTAGGAAAAACACCCTAAACTCAATCTATCATGAAGTTTTAAAATAAAACGAATGTATGCAGAAAACACAGAAGGCTGGTAGGTTTAAATAGAAACATAAAGTGTTAATACTAACAATTAACAGAAAGAATGTACAAATCACTTTAAAAGTCTATTCCTAAATATATTTTTAAATTAATAAAATATGCAAAAATTGGCTTTGTATATCTAAATGTTACTTAATTTGGGTGGTGATTATAAAGCCTGAGAGAGCTATTACTTCAGTCATCTATAGTTCCCCACAGTGATTATTATGCTGTCTTGCATGTGGACTAAATACCTGTTAAAAATAAATTGATGAATAACATATTTAATAACTATTGCTCTTTTAAAAATTAAGTTGATATTACATCATTATTTTATTGTTACTAAAATATAAGCAGTGAAATTTTGTTGATGTATAGCTTAAAAAACCCTAAATTCAGAATTTGTTAATTTTAATTAAAAATTAATAAATAGATATTTGCTAAATAAATAAATGTACACACATATATTGCATATCTATGTAAACTGGTATGTAAATTAATTCATATGCTGTATAGAATGCATAAACAAAAAACTAAATTCAGAAATTATGGATTTTGATATATGTGTGTATACAAACATATAAATCATTTAGAATATATATATATATATATATGATTTTACAGTATATCAGTATATATATTTTTAATTAAAAATGTGTTTCACTTAGATGGAATTTTATTCCAAGAATATGTCGGACAGTAGGTGTCGCTGGAGTAAAGCAAAAAAAATTAATATTTTGGTTTTTTTTTTTTTTTTTTTTTTGAAGTCTCAACTGTGCTAGAACAACACTCAAAGGAAAATATGTAGCAGGTTTTTGTTTTTTTTTTAAGATTCTGCATTTTCTTTATTTTCAGGATTAATAACTCAAATATTCAAGTTCACACCAAGATGAAATATCACATAACATATGGACTTAAATTGGAGTGATTGTCCCTTCTGTCCTCTACCCCCAAGTCGAGGGAAAAAACAGATACTAATTTTCGCTTCTTTAATAGACCTGAAAAAACTGGATTTCTTCTTAAAATTCAAGCCTATGAAAATTGCTGCAGGCAACACTAACACTAATCTGTATTTTCCTCTGCATAGGAGCTGATGTGAGGCTACCTCATGGAGCTGTTCCTTTCTCATAAGGATAGACCCTCTGAAGCCACTCTAGCCCATTCTTGGACCTGGAAACTTTGAGTCATGTGTACCTTAAGTACTGTCTCAGATTTTTTGCTTACACTTCACTTTCAACAACAATTTGGTGTGTTTTAAGCTTTAAGAACTTGTACTGGTAGCTGTAAATCAGGGCTATCTATCTATGGGTGCAATTGTAACCAGAGAGCTGTTAGAGACAATGAAATGTACTTACTTAAAGAGCTCATTTCTGTCGATGGCTCTGTTGGTTTGGGGGTCAATTGCATAGACAGTCAAGTCACATTTGGTATAATCCTCTAGAGAAAAGGCATCTCCATGCCGGCGAGCGCCAATGGATTCCACCACAACCTTGGCACCGGGAATTTGCTCCTGAACATAGCGATCCAGAATCCTATAAATCAAACAAAATACAAACACGACATCCTGAAGGGCTTGCTGGGGGGCGGGGGGGGATCACCCTTAACTTGAAATGACATTTAGTATATGAAAAATGAGGACAGACCGGTTTTTGCTAATATGTACAGAATATGAACCCTTAAAAAAAAATTGCTAGATTTTTTTCAGCATTTAAATCCCAGTGATGGTGGAAGGTAAACAAGGTAGAAAGAAGTCATCAACCATGTCCTGTTTAAGTCCAGACTTTTTGAATTTATGATACCATTTGAGCTTTTTATGTGGCTCATGGGAAATGCCAAATATATTGTACATATAAAGCTGTCTATGCTTTTTAGTAGTCTTGGGGTCTTAGAACTCTTGACTTCATATGGTTGGCCTGTGATACCAGGCACTAAGCTATATGCTAAGATGCAGGATTAGGATGCCTGTTTTCCTGAGGGTATAAAGATCCTTAGAACATTATATCAATGGGAGAATATAGAGATATTTTGCAATGGCAGGTTCACCAGGTGAAGATATTTAGGTGAATACAAACAACTACAAGATAAACCATCTCTTATAGAATCAGTAATATTCACCAGAAAAGACAGGAATAATGTTAATACATAATTTGGGGGAAAATATAATTTTGTCTAATTGCATAACTGGATTTTAATTGAAAGCACAAATTATTACCATATAAGGATTTATTTTCTGTGTTTCTACAACAACAATTTTCTTAATGTCCTTATATTATGAGCCCTTGTAGACAAATATTGGAATGCACATTAGTAAATATTTATAGACATTAAAATGTAAATAAATTAATTTTAATAACTATGCATGGCTAATATGTTTAAATTCATCTATAGATTCAGTGCTCCTTTGGGAGTCCATGCTGTGAAGTATATTTGGGGGGGAAGGTAACATATTTAAAGTCCTTTCACACATCAGAAAAGAATTTTTGCTCCAGACATCAAAATTGACCTATTTTCTGCTCTGTTAAAAACACATTACCTTAAGAGTCTGGTGTGTGCTTGGTTTGCCCTTGTTACAAGAGCAATCAGGATACTTTAGAGGCAATGGCTATAGCAGTGCATACCAGGGGACATTGCCAATGTTAATGTTAATGAAATGATTTGGGTTTTTTCATTTTTAATATTTAATAGAGCAGCACAGTTGAAAGCTGTCTTATTGAAGTACTATATATTATTTTCCTTTTCTCTCATCACCCCCACCCACTGGTCTTTCTGACTTGCAGAGTCTTTTCTAATGAGATTCTTGCAGAAGAATAAACAAAAGATGATGTGGAAAAAAGGAGGAGGAGTAAATCCACTTGGCAAATACCAGTTAATAGTTGAATGCAGCCTCCCTGACAACCTGAAGAGAGCAGATGTACTAGGCAACACAGACTAGTCAAACATTGTTCAGCCTGTGTTTGGGATTTTTTTGTTGAGAGATGTATGCTTACTTAATAAAAATAAGAAAAGGCCTCAGAGTCAAACCACATTATACTCCTGACATTTTTAAAGAGGAACAAACAGTAATGACATAGCATTGAAGAGCACAGAGGTTTGGCTTCCATTTTTAATTCCTTTACTTAGCAATTGTATAACCTCAGACAAATAATTTTAAACTCTCAAAGTCTCAGTTTCTTTATATACAAAAGGAGAAAATTATCTACTACGTGGAGTCTTGTGTACATTAAATGAACTGGCACTAATTTTTAGCACATAGCAACTGTTCCATAATGTATGATTGCTATTACTATTAATTTGGCTTAAATGTCTGCATTAATATGCTTTTCCCCTGCCTCTAATTCATTCAAGACATTAATTAATTTGTGGCATTATTAAGAAGGCATATTTCTCACTAGTACTATTAGTTCACATACACACACAAAAAAGAGTGAGTATATGGTTAAATACACTGTAGAAGTTGACTATTTATTCCAATACTTCAGTTTAACAATTTATAACTGCTCCAGTGCAGTTAGGCAATGATTTGACACGTTCCAAGGAAATCCTTCATATGTGCATAGATTAACAGTATGCTGTCCTACAATAAAGAAGCATGTCTATTGAGCCTGTGAATTTTGCTATATTTCTGTGCAATACTGCAGAGTCATGTGTGACTAAAAAATTAGGTGCAGAATGAAATATAACTGTACTAATTTTCTTCATGGTAGCAGACAGTCATAAATCAATGAAGTCTGGAAATAAATTATGTCACTGAAAACATGTAAAGTCTTCTCTCTGAACATTTTTTTCTTAAATGTTTAGACATCTTTTAGAATGAAATATAACTTATGATAAAGATAAATGTGTCTAAATTTTTTCTGTATCTTTTTCTAATAAATATATCTAAAACTAAATTTAAAACTTTTTAAATAAGAACATATTTTGTAAAAATGTATCTTTCCACCTATAATCTATATCTATATACCTAAGCATTTTCTACATCTATCTCCATTATATATATGTATATATGTATATGGATTTCACTACATATGTGTGTGTATATAGAGAGAGAAATCCACAATTATGTTTATCTAACCTATAATATCTGTAGTATACAATCATATACACACATATCAAAAAAGGTGTATATAATGATAGCTACATAATATTAATAATGCTTAGATCCAGGTGTCATGATTTTGACTTTATTTTTATATATTACACTTCAAGAATTTTCCATAATGGCCATAATAAAAACAATATAGTCATATTTTTTAACCAAACTCTTGACTCCCTATTCCCTCTTCTCCAAATTCTTGAGAAAATAAATCTCCACATAAATTTAAATGTTTCAAGTGTGAAAATGTAGAAAATTCATCTTGACTCAGAGCTGCCTAATAAAGTTAGAACAAAACTCAGGTTAAGTGTTAACTGGGAATATTTTCATTTATTCATTTATTCATTCACTCAGAAGGTATTTATCAAATGCCTACCATGGACCAGATACTGTTCTAGATACATGGAATATATTAGTGAACAAAACAAAGATCTCTGACATCAGACACTTTACATTCTAATTGGGCAAGACAAACAACAGATAATAAAAAAATAAAATTGAGAGTGTTCAGGAAAAGCATCATTGAGAAGTTGATATTTCAGCAAAGACTTTAGGAGACAATGAGTAATGTGGATATTCTGGGAAAAAGTGCCCTAGGAAAAGGGAATTGCTAACTGATTCTGCAAATCCCTGATGTAGTGGTGTGTGTCTGGAGCATGAAAAGTCGGGGCCAGATCACATGAAGACTTTTAGGACTGTAAGGGCATTACCTTTTGTTCTGATTGGAATAAAAATCCTTTGCTGGGTTTTAAATATTGAGGTAATAAAATGTGCCCTATCTTTAAAAGAAGCACCTTGGCCACTGTGTTGTGAACAGGCTGAAGTGGGGGCCATGAGCAGAATCAGGAAAATCAGTTAGTAAATATTTTAAGGAGTTGAAGGATTTGCTGAATGTTCAACCTACTCGGTAATTGGAGGAAGAGAAGACACAACCTAATTCTTGTCTATTAGCCATTTATGAACCATACAATTGTTTTATTATGTGCATTAATGTTATGCCTGATTAAATATCTACCCATATGCAAGCAGTATATACTTGTAAAATAAACCAAGTAATGCAATACTTAACTGAACAAGTAACTATATGAATTACAAGTTGACCTAGATAAATACTGGCTTTTTTTGGTTATTCATTTTAAAATAGGTCGATTTTTATAGATCATTCTTTGTTTAAAAAAACATAAAGGAGAGACTAAAGCTGAGAGATCAATTTAAAGTGCTGTATTATCTTCCTTGAAGTATGTATCTAGATGTAGATGGCTTTTAAAAGAGGGCTACATCTTTTCAGAGTTCAGGCTGCTTCCTTCTATTGTCTTTTGTATTAAATATGGAGCACAGATCCCTTCATTGCTTCATCTCACATACCTTGAACTATCTAACTGTTTCCTTGTGAAGTCCAGTGTTTTGTATTTGAGGAAAAGTTCTCATGGTGGCAGTGCTATAATGACAGTACATGGCATTCCAACATGATGATAAATCTGGCTAACATCTCAAGAAAAGCAGAATTTATATATGACCACTTGGTATTATCAATATTGTTTGACGATACTTTAGGACTATAATGTGGAGAAAAATGCATTCTAATGAAAAATTAATGATAATGATAAAGACAGAAGTATTTGCTAAATGCAGAATTCTGTGAAAAATCCCTAAGGTTTGGGAATTTTCTACCATAGAAAATTCGACCATAGTCCACACGTCTGGCTCCCGCAGGTGTTCCTCCCCACATGACTTTGGAACCTACCTGCTCCTCCGCACCCCTCTTGATTACCCAGACAATGGCTGCTAATCCATGAGAACAATCCTGTTCTCAAAACTAGCTGAACTTCAGCCACCCTCTTCCTGCTGAAGTTCCACTAAACATTCTGCTCTCCTCCGAGGTCCTTGGGAGACTTCCCATGCGTGCTTTCTCATGCCTCACATTTACAAATGAAAGTTTATGCTAAGGATGTTGTTACTGGTTTTGTTCCACAATCCTTCCTCCCTTCCCCCCAACTTTGCTGAGGTACAATGATATACGAAAACTGCACATTATTAAATGGGTACAATTTGGTGTTTGGACAAATGTATGCACTCCTGTTACTATCACACCACTGAGATAATAAACATGTCCATCCCTTCCAAAAGTTTCCTAATGATCCTTTGTTTTTCTGTTCATTTGTTTGTTATTTTTGTGGTAAGAACACTTAACATGAGACCTGCCATTCTAATAAATTTTTAAGTACACAATGCCTTATTGTCAACTATAGCTACCAAGTTGTACAGCAGATCACTGAAACATACTCATCTTGTATAACTGTAACTTTGTGTAGTTATCTCATTCTATAATATAATGGTTGAGCCCTGGTGACAACCATTCTATTGTTTACTTCTATGCTTCTGACTATTTCAGATGCCTCATGTAAGAGGAATCGTGCAGTATTTGTCTTTCTGTGCCTG